AGCAACCCCCACTGAGTTTCCAAGTCTGTAAATATTTGTGGAAGTAGATTGCCTCCTCTTCCTCCCGTGGAGTGGCTGTTAGGTTCGAACCGCCTACCTTTTGGTTAGCAGCCCAATGCCTTAACCACAACACCACCAGTGCTCCTTGAGTTCTGCAGCACTGGCCATCAAATCCAGGAAACTGTGTAAGGTGACTTCTCACTGGTGCTGTGGTTAAAGTATTGGGCTGCTAACCAAAAGGTTGGCAGTTTGAACCCACCAGCTGCTCTGTGGGAGAAAGAGGAGACAGTCTGCTTCCATGAAGATTAACAGCTTTGGAAACCCTATGGGGCAGTTCTACTCTGTCCTATAGGGCTACTATGAGTCAGAATTACTCGATGGCTGTGGGTTTGGTTTTGTTGTTGTTGTTTTGGTCTATCCGATGGACAAGAGAAATTAATGCCACAAGAAGGAAGCATTCAGTGGGTCATTGTGGCCAGATATATAACTCTCTCAAGCTTGAAAGATGAAACAAAACAATGAGAGAAATTTTGTAAAAATGACAACTCTAGCACAATCGCGTCTAGGATTTCTTAGTAGAGATCTCCCGTGATTTTGTAGGAAAACTATGTCCTGACGGCTTTCAAGATCTCTGATACATACAATTAAATACCATGGAAAACCAGAAAAGATTCAAAGAGAATAGCAGATGATGTGCACTGCCCTTCCTCTCCTGTGGGGTCTCACCCACTCTGCAGAATAAACAAATCCAAGGGAATCCTTTCTGCCTCTGATATGCCATTCACCATAAACATATCCATAAATAAATACCAAATGCTGGTCACAGTGGCCTTTAGAACCATATTCTATGTTCACCTTCACTCAACCGTTTTGCCTGTTAAAACCTCCCACTTCCTCCTCTGCAATCTCTCTTCCTCCACTTGACAGGTCTTCTTTCTACACTAAGATTATTCACTCTCTACTGAGTCATATGCAAAGATCACCTTCGAATTTTCTCATTAGCATTTCTTAAAACATTGACTATGGAGCCAGGTGGTGGGGCTGGGGACGGTGATGAATAACTTTCCATTTCCCCAGGGATGCTCCTGACTTAGTTTTCAAACTAATTGTCTTAAAAATATGACAGGACACCCGATGCCCTGGAGTCAATTCTGACTCATAGTGGTCCTATAGGACAGAGTAGAACTGCCCCACAGGGTTTCCTGGGCTGTCATCTTTACAGAAGCAGCCCGCCACATCTTTGTCCCAAGGATCTGGTGGGTTAGAACTGCCAAACTTAGGGTTAGCAGCTGAGTGCTTTAACCAGAGTGCCACCAGAGCTCCTTGATAATCCTCTTAGGAAGGCTCTATTATCATTCATATTTTACAGATGAGGCAACTGAAGCTAGGATAGGCTACAAAACTTGTCAAGGGTCCCTCAACCAGTGGCGAAGCTGGATTCAGTGTCCATTGAAATGGAACCCCAGCTCTTCAGCCATTCGCCATTGCCCTTCAGGCCCACTTTCCCCTTGGATGTACTTCAGCCACCGTGGAGCATCTACACCAAAACAGAAATACGTGCACAAGTTTATAAACATGACTTAAGGATTCCGAGAGATGTAGCTATAACACGAACAGGGTCTGGGGATGCATTCAGTATTTCTCTCACTGATCTACTACCCTTAGGCAACTAGTCAGTTACGTCTGTCTTGTCACTAGTTACAAATTTCATCTTTTTAAATGCTCAGCTTCCGGAATAAAAGAACAAATCTGTGTGCTAGGTCAAAGAGATTTTTTTTTTTTTTCTTTTTAAATAAGCATGAATTAAGCAGCTAGATTAGAGGCCCTTTTAGAGACATAAGGCCACTGATTGCGGTTGTCTGGCAAAGAAGCTGCTGAGAACATGGGGACAAATGCAACTAATGAGACAGTTATGAGCTCTGCAAAAGAAAGAGAGGGTCATTTTGGTTAGAACTAAATAACCAGATATTGGACCAAGGTGTTCCACGCACTCTCTGTAAAAGGCCAGCTAGTGACTACTTTGAAGTCGCTGGGTGGTGTGATTGGTAATGAGATCACCTGCTAACTGAAAGGTTGGCAGCTCGAGTCTGCCCGGAGGCACCTCAGAAGAAAGCCCAGCGAGCTCCTTCTGAACAATCAGCCACTGCAAACCACGTGGAACACATTTCTACTCTGACACACACAGAGGCACCATGAGTTGGAAGCCAAAGGACAACAACTGGTCATTGGGTGAGTGAAAGTGGAAGTTAGGTAGAAGGACACACAAAGAAGAGGCAGCAGCCTGAGAGAGGCTCAGTGGCTATGTGGGACGGGCAGCCAAAGCACTAACCCTGTGATCCGTGTTCGTGAGGATTAAAATACATTTTTAAGTGTGTTGTCTGGTGTGTGAAATGTCCCTTGCCTCATCCTTCAGATGGTCAGGAAAAGCTCGGCCACTGTGGTAAACTTGAGTTCACGGTTGCTTGGATGGTAGGTGGGTAGGAGGATGCAGCCAAGGAGAAGGATGTCTCCATGTCCCTTCGTTGGGTAGACACTAGAATGGTGACCAAGGAGTAGCCAAGGGAAGCAGATAGAAGAGCAATGAGCAATGATGATTCCAAACCTGGGGTCTTTGGGTAATGAAAACGGTTAACACACTCAGCTGCTAACCTGAAGATTAGAGGTTTACGTCCACCAAGAAGTACCTTGGAGAAAAGGCCTAGTGGTCTACTTCTGAGAAATCAGCCACTGAAAAGCCCTTGGAGCCCAGTTCCATGCTGACACACACGGGGACGCCATGAGTTGGAGGTGATGCAACAGGAACTGGATTTTTTCGGAACCATAATTCCTCAGGGAAATACAGAGCCTTGTTTTTGTTTTGTTTTGTTTTGTTTTTACTGGAATGATGCTTTGAATCAATTTATATTGATCTTAAAGAGCTGGGAAACTCTAGCAGACATCTTGGTCACACTAAAGAAATTGAAGCATCTAGCTAGAACAGACGAGTACATAATGACATATCTGCATCTTAAAGGTAAATCTGAACATATCAGCATGTGCAGTGAACTAGCTCGCTGATTTAACAACAGCCTGCTGACACACCTTTTGCCTGTTAAACCTATTATTGCCCATAATGAAAGGCTGTACATGTTTCACTCACAACACCCAGTCGTATGTGTGATCACGGTGGCCGAAACATTATGATACAGGGATTTTTCATTATACTCAACACATTTTTCCCTCAGAAACCTGATTGGTTGTTCCAGATGCCATGAATGATATAAACTGAGCACATAGTGGGAAGAAAGCTACAGGATCAAGCATCCCTGAGTTTCAGAAACACTCCAAATACACTCAAAGGTATGTGAGTTTTATTCATAATTAGGTCTCTGATTTGATTCTGCTTGTTTATTTCTCTGCATTTCAGGTTTAACTGATGCAAATGTATTCCATATTTTGAATACTTTATGCCATCAAGATTTAGTTATTTCTTCAGTCAGAATGTAATTAAATGAGACTCAAATTACATAAATGAATTATTTCACTTTACAATGCAGCAAGGTGTCTATAGGTCTTTAATTTTTTATTCTGGAATCTCAAAATACTCTCTGGGGCCAAAACCCACAGCAAAATATTTATTTTAATTACTAATCAATTAAGGTAGAATGCTACTTTCATAGGCTATAATTCACTACTTTGAGAAACATTTTGTTTAATTACATCAAAAAGAACTGTCAATTCAATGTTTATGCCATATTTTTTCTCATTATTCCAACCTTTAAAAAAACAAGATGTACTCCAGACTTCCTGGAGCCATGAAGGCTGGATGAACCCCTGAAACTATGGCCCTGAGATTATCTTTGAACCTTAAACCAAAAATATCCCCTGAAGTCTTCTTAAAACTGAAGAAAAGTTTAGCTTAACTGATAAGAAGTTCTGCCTGACAACGGCAACTCGAAAGATTAGATAGGAAACTTAGGGGCAGTGAATTTATGTCAATAGAGGAACAACTCAGAAAAGAGGGTCAGAGGTTAAACAACACAAAGGATGTAATCAACATCAATAAATGGTACATGTAGAAACTGTTGAATTGGTGTATGTTTTGCTGTGTATATTTTCAACAGCAACAACAAAATTAAATTTCATTTTTTAAAAAAAGATGTTGGCTTTAGAAAACTTCAGTGTTAGTTTCTGTAGTCAGTATTATGGTACATTATAACACAGGCTATAAAAAAAATTCAGGTTTTTTTAGTGACAGTTTTTTAAATTAGTCAATAATTTGGCCCACAAAGCTAAGTGCCTATTTTAGGACAGGCTATTTTGCTTTGTGCCCCAAGGGAGGCTATTTGTGGAATCATTACAATGTAGCATCAGGCAAAAGGAGGATGCCATTGGTTAAAGAGGGATCCATTTGAAATTCATGGCAGAGCCCTAGAATATTAGCCTGTCTTCTTCCTTCGGCTTAATCCCATTTCTTAACCCTGGAGGTGCTCTGTGGGCACAGTGGTTAAAGCATTTGGCAGCTAACCAAAAGGTCAGTGGTTCAAACCCACCAGCCTGCTCCACAGGAGAAAGATGAGGTAGTCTGCATCTGTAAGGATTAGAAACTTTTTGGTCTGGGCACCACTGTGTAACGGCCTTGACAATCACAGCAACTTTTAGAGCCTCCCCTGTTCCTTGAATCAGTAACTGTAAGTGACATTTTGTGTCTATGAGTCTGCAGGCTGTATAGGGAAATGGCAGGCCAAATTGTGTAATGATGGATTATGCGTGTCCCTCCAACGTGTTCAGCTCTCAACCCAAATGAAAAGCATCTTTATCACCATGGTGACTTCAGAAATAACAGAATAAGCTGAGAACTGGAAATCAAATACAAATCACAAAGAATGGTCCTTGGGTCCCATCCTTTTTATTAGCTACAGACTGATGTGGATTATGTGTGTTTGTGGAGCATTAATTATGCTCATATATGAGAAGCGATAAGAAGAGCAGGTGTTGTCTTATTTCAGGGCCACCAAGCAATGGGGACCTGGATTTTGTTTGCCTGCCTGCTGGGAGCAGCCTTTTCTATGCCAGTGAGTATCATGCTCTTGTGTAGGTCAACATCCAATTTCACAAGCCTGGACATAAAAAGGTGCTTTGCTGGTGCAGTGGTTAATTTGGCTACCAACCGAAAGGTTGGTGGTTCGAACCCACCAGCTAATCCTCAAGAAAAAGATGAAGCAGTCTGCTTCTGTCAAGGCTGACAGCCTTGGAAACCTGATGGAGCGTTCTACTCTGTCCAATATGGTCACTATGCGTCTGAATCAACTCAGTGGCAATGGGTTTTGGACATAAAAATCTGGCCCATGGTTGATCAACTTTAGGGTTCAAAAGAGTTCAAGAACAGATGTACTCAGAAGCCTGTGTGTTTAAGAAACACTCAAGGTTAACAAAATAGATTCTTAGATGTCTAATCCAAAGACTTCGATTCCATACAGCTGGGACCTGTTGTTGTTATTGTTGTTATGTGCCGTCGAGTCGGACCCGACTCATAGCGACCCCTCCTTGGGTTTCCGAGGCAGTATCACTACGGAGGG